TGCTGGGTTCATGAATATTAATCACGTTGTCAGCGTTCGCTCGAACTGATTTGCTGAAATCAAAACAGGGACGGTAATAGATGAGCGCCAACCAATGAGAGCTGTTCGTGCATTAGCTCCGCCCACTGCCGAGAAACCGGCATATCTTCTGCTTGTTCTTAAAAGCTGAATAATTCTAAATGAACTGTTATTTTGACAGGAAAATACAACAAAGAATATGGTTTACATGTAGCGCGTCAATTCAGCGGGGTATGCAAGACTCTCGCTCTCTCTCTTTGCATGTGTGAGAAACACATGTAGCACGTGACCTACAATCTAAACAAACCACTCTCTAATGCCTTGGACCAGATCAGAAGACTACGTTCGCTCTTGAGCCAGCGTTGCAGCAAGACAAGGGAAATAATAACACAAGACAGGGTTATAGTTGAAAAGGTAAGTATTTTTCTTTTGTATTTCTTCGTTTTAATTTGTTTGCGTTGGGAAAAGACAAGAAAAAAAACTAAATGACAGCTTCAGAAAAAGAGAAAAATTAACAAAATTAAATTATAGAAATCAAGCAGTTTTTACTCCGACAACGACTCTTTGAGTGTTATTTAGTTCTGTAGTTATTCTGTTAGTTCTTTACTTAGTTCTGGTACTCCTTATTTACTCAGATTAATTTCTAGCTTGGTTTGGTTTATAGCTATCAAACAACCGTGTTCCTTTTTTCACATAAATGGTACAACCAGTTAACACTTAAAACCCGAAGTACAGTTATAGGACTCAATAACCTTAGTGTTCTCTTTTTCCAGAACAATTTCAATAAAAGATGGGGAAAAAAACAAACCAAAAATAAAACAGCAATTTGGATGATAAACTTCAAGTAAAATGTCAGATGACAACCAAATCAGAGTTCCTTTCAATTAGCTGTCTTTGATGGAAATGACTCAGGTAAATAAGCAGGAGTTTAGCTCAGTTCAGTGTCCTTCGTACTTCGTACGTGTTCAGTTAAAGAACGCCGATATGCAAACTCCCGAGATTGAAAAGGGAAAGAAAAAAATGGTGTTCCAGAAACATTTCTTATTATTATCAATGTTGAAAATTGTTGTTGAAAAAGTACAGCATTTATTTGAAATTAAATGAATTATTAATTTCTTAATTTAAAAACAACAAAAAAAACAAAAAAAAAAACAACAACAAAAAAACAAAACAAAAATAAAACAGCAATTTGGATGATAAACTTCAAGTAAAATGTCAGATGACAACCAAATCAGAGTTCCTTTCAATTAGCTGTCTTTGATGGAAATTACTCAGGTAAATAAGCAGGGGTTTAGCTCAGTTCAGTGTCCTTCGTACTTCGTACGTGTTCAGTTAAAGAACGCCGATATGCAAACTCCCGAGATTGAAAAGGGAAAGAAAAAAAACAGTTCTTGTTCACAGTTTTGATAGTATCCAGGGAAGGAAAAAATGAGTACGTGTGGTCCTACCACTTCGATGAAACATGAAACGTTGTCCAAGCTCAAGAAAAACCAGGTTGGCCCGCCAGTTTCCACCAATGTTGAGCACTCCTCGTTGATGGCAGAAACAGTTCTAACTCAGAACTCCAAGAAACTCCTCATTCAATATCAAAGAGAGATATGGAAGGACAGAGAAGAAACAAAACATAGAAAAGAGTGGAGGAAAAGAAAACCCAACCTTGCGAAGACAAGGCCGAAAAATCACAATTAATTACAATGAATTCCCATTTAACATCATCATTTCAGATGATCAATTTCAACAATAAATGTTTTAAAATGAATCAATACACATTTCCCAACACTTATTTCCTTTTTAACACATTTCTTTAACAGAAATATAACTATATTAATGAAGAATAATGTCTTAGAATGACGTATGTGCACTCGGTTAGCTTATAGCTAGTACTACACGAGACCGCATGGTTAGCGAAACTCCACGTGAGCTACATTACACTCATAAAGTTAGCAAACGCACATAAACACTTTTAAGCAGCAAATCAAGTCAATTTATCACTTCACTCACATTTCTTAACATATTTCACAAAAATTATACATCACAGTATCATTTAAGAACACTTAACTCCGCAAAAGACAAACAAATGCAAAAACCATAACTAAACATGGTAGCTTATGAGCTCACTTACCAAGAATAAAATGATAACGATTAGAAATAACCTCAGATGAATCAAGGAAAATCTGTTTTATGCAGTTTCCGTCAGATGAATCAGCTTATCTTCTCGTTTAACCCTTGGAGTTAATACAGACGCGATTAGAACTATTTAAACAACTACTTCCTGCTAGCGTTTTAATGTTTTAATTATGAATTTCAATTGTTAATCTAGTATTTCTCACTTACTTTCTTAACTTCAGAACTGCAACTGACACGCATCACTGCTCCAGCGGCCATTTCACTTCACTCTGTGACGAGAGACTATTCACCTCTATTTAGCGCTAGAGATGACGCAACCCACTAAGGGCGGAGCTATTTCTAATTGTTTAATTTAATTTCTTTTCTAGTTTGTGAAGTTTCTTCAGCAATGTTTGATCTCTAACACATTAAAATAATATAATCAAATATATTATATGTGCATTATAATAATTCTCTCTTTCTTTTACAGGTTTAATATGGGCTTTAGTAACCTTGGTTACACACAGCACTATCAGTAAAGCAACGGCGAGTCGTGCGCCTTCACACTAGTTTACGGTACGTCAAATACAGGTGCGCTGCGTGCTACATACTGCGCATCCATTGAGTACATGACATGAT